AACTGTTTATATAAAAAAACCAAAAAAAAATTATTTCATTTCATATCCTCCAAGTGCGAAATTTGATAAGGCTTAGCAACCTGCGTCAAGCAGCAACCAACTAGAAGAGATAATTGTTTGCTTTACTTCTTTATTTACTGTTCTATGTTTTAAGAAAAATAGGTTTAAGAACTTATTTCTAAATAGTAATAATCTATATACATATGTAATAATGGAAATGTGACTGTATTTTACAAAATTATGGTCTACTAAAACACAGCCAAGACAAGTTACTTTGTACAGACTGAAGGTCAGTTTTATGTTATTTGATACGGTAACATGAGTGCACGTGTGCCACGTCGTTGTAACTTCTGTATTGTTAGCCAGACACGGCTGAAAAGTCAATATAATAAATATATAAAAATGTATAATGTTATGAGATTTAAGCTATTTAGTCTAAACATTTATGTTTTCGTGTTATAATTTGTTGTCATTCTAGAACGAAAGAGACATAATTTATATTTATTTCCTAATTTTGTTATGGTGGTTACAAGATCAATCAAATCTACCAAACCCATACAGAGATTCTTTAATGAAAATAACAGATAAAATGTAAAGTTTTTTTTTTTTTTTTAAGTAAATACTTGATAAGTATCTGGACAGTATAAAGATTTCACATGTGAAATTTGAAAATTTTCTGATGCGTAAAAGTATTTTTAATCTTAAAATGAAAATTACTTTGCATGTTGGATAGTCAACATGCAAAAAGAAAAAAAAAAAAGGCATGAGGAAAACATTGCTTTACAAACCTTAAGACTTAATAAAAAAATTGATATTTTGCGTATGAAAGCATTGCAATGTTTACTGATAATCTGCCAAATTTCGTTAACATTCGCTTACTAATAACCATTTTATATAACTGAAAGTATATTTGTTACACTTCAGGTTCTGTGGTTGATTTTTATAGTACTAGAAAAATAGTATTAGCTAAATTATCTTAATTTTACACCAGATCATGCTCTTCTATATATAAATCCTGTCCCTCCTTTTTAATTTTGTTAAATTTGAATTATTATCAAGGAACAAATTGCTTTATTATAGACATCTCCCGAAGAGTTCTAGTTAGGTTCTGTAGTAAAACCTTCGGAGCTGCTAACGTACAGTGTGATCCACATTGCTACTTTATTTGGGCCTAGTTTTGTATACTGTATGTAATAGTCTCTTGTGGTTGTTTGTTTGTCAGGCAGTGGTGTCACCTTAAATCTTGATAAGATGATGGAACAGAAAACAAATGCTGTAAAAGCCCTCACTCAAGGAATTGGTCATCTTTTTAAACAAAATAAGGTAATTTCTCACTGTGTCGCTGCTGCAAGATCTCACCCGAACTATACTGTAATGTTTTGTGTAAAAATAAGCATATTATACAATAGTATATAGTGAAATATCATTAGTATCTTGAATAAAAGTACCATAGTGTCGTGTGTTAAAAATTCATCATAATGTCTTGTATGAAAAGCATTATATTTGGATTAGTTTACATAATGCTGTTTTTCAAAATGTGAGATAAAAATCTGTAAGAGAACAAGACCTGCCATGATTAACAAGATATTTTATAATCAGTTTGTTCTTGTGCAAGATAACATCTTTTCATTAATTATGTTCTCCAATAAATACTTTTAAAGTAGATGAATATTTAGAGTACCGTAAAATTAATCCAAACCCAAACCTGTATATTGAACCATAACTGTTAGTTAAGAAGAAATTAGTACTGTAGTGAGGATGTGTAACAGTTGTATCGTGAGGATGTGTAACAGTTGTATCGTGAGGATGTGTAAAAGTTGTATCGTGAGGATGTGTAACAGTTGTATCGTGAAGATGTGTAAAAGTTGTATCGTGAGGATGTGTAACAGTTGTATCGTGAAGATGTGTAAAAGTTGTATCGTGAGGAGGTGTAAAAGTTGTATCGTGAGGAGGTGTAAAAGTTGTATCGTGAGGAGGTGTAAAAGTTGTATCGTGAGGAGGTGTAACAGTTGTGCCGTGAGGACGTGTAACAGTTGTGCCGTGAGGACGTGTAACAGTTGTGTCGTGAGGACGTGTAACAGTTGTGTCGCGAGGACGTGTAAAAGTTGTATCGCGAGGACGTGTAAAAGTTGTATCGCGAGGACGTGTAAAAGTTGTATCGTGAAGACGTGTAACAGTTGTGTCGTGAGGACGTGTAACAGTTGTGTCGTGAGGAGGTGTAACAGTTGTGTCGTGAGGAGGTGTAAAAGTTGTGTCGTGAGGACGTGTAAAAGTTGTGTCGTGAGGACGTGTAAAAGTTGTGTCGTGAGGACGTGTAAAAGTTGTGTCGTGAGGACGTGTAAAAGTTGTGTCGTGAGGACGTGTAACAGTTGTGTCGTGAGGACGTGTAACAGTTGTGTCGTGAGGACGTGTAACAGTTGTGTCGTGCAGATGTGTAAAAGTTGTATCGTGAAGATGTGTAAAATTTGAACTATGAGGATCTGTAACATTTGGATTGATAGGTGTGTGTATGAATGATTATTACTATCTTAGTTTTTTTCATTAAAACTATTAAAAAAAAACTTCAAACTAAAACATTAATATCAATGTGTTTGGATACTAACAGGTAACTTGTTTCATTCTTGAGTTGACTGTATTATTTCACTCCATAGGTTTCGCACGTACAAGGACATGGAAAAATCACTGGACCAAACGAAGTAACGGCCTTAAAAAAAGATGGAGGTTCGGAAGTGATTAAAACAAAAAACATTCTCATTGCCACAGGATCTGAAACTACTCCGTTCCCTGGTGTAGAGGTTTGTAAACTTGCAACATGTAGCTCTGATTGGATAATATTTGTAACTTGAACATCTCTTTAATGTAAATAAAGTAACATTTATCTACAAAACATAATATTTCGCTATTACAGCTTCTTCGGGAGCTATTGATATCATTCAAGTTTGCTGTTGAAAGTAAATCATGTCTAAAAGGTTTAGATCATATCAAACATTCTTGATTTGTGTTGTTTAAACAAACCAACAGTGATACATAAACAATCCCTTATTATGTTTTGTATACTGTCTCGTACGTTTACCCACAGGACTGTATACAAAACATAATATCAACATGGAACACATTTAAAGTTCAGGTTATATTGTATACAAACAATAATATCAACATGGAACACATTTAAAGCTCATGTTATATTGTATACAAAACATAATATCAATATGGAACACAAGTTTAAAGTTCAGGTTATATTGTATACAAACAATAATATCAATATGGAACACATTTAAAGTTCAGGTTATATTGTATACAAAACATAATATCAATATGGAACACATTTAAAGTTCAGGTTACATTGTATACAAACAATAATATCAGTATGGAACACATTTAAAGTTCAGGTTACAATGTATACAAACAATAATATCAGTATGGAACACAAGTTTAAAGTTCAGGTTGTATTGTATACAAACAATAATATCAATATGGAACACAAGTTTAAAGTTCAGGTTATATTGTATACAAACAATAATATCAGTATGGAACACAAGTTTAAAGTTCAGGTTATATTGTATACAAACAATAATATCAATATGGAACACAAGTTTAAAGTTCAGGTTATATTGTATACAAACAATAATATCAATATGGAACACATTTAAAGTTCAGGTTACATTGTATACAAAACATAATATCAATATGGAACACATTTAAAGTTCAGGTTATATTGTATACAAACAATAATATCAATATGGAACACATTTAAAGTTCAGGTTATATTGTATACAAAACACAATATCAATATGGAACACAAGTTTAAAGCTCATGTTATATTGTAAAGAAACAATAATGTCAATATGGGACACACATTTAAAGTTTGGGTTATATTGCATACAAACAGTATTATCACTACAAAACTGAGGAGAATAATTAAACATCAGGTATCTCCATAAACCCTTAGTAACAAATTCTATGTGTAAAAATGAAATGCAGTACATAAAAGGTAACTGTATAGCTGCTAAATGTGGACTACATGAACGTTATTTATGAATTAACTTGTGGCAGATGCTGTAGTACACATACAGGACCCATACATAACAGAATATGTGAACACTCACATGACATCTAAAACTTCAATACTAACAGTACTATTGGTGATCATTATAGTAAAGAACATGAGATACCACAAGTAGATAACACCACACTGGATATCAAAATCTTACCCAAATGTCATTTCTTGTTGAAAGATTAAAGAATACATTTTAATCAAGAAAAAAAAATATAAAATGAACATATATAAATGTCAGCATCTAGTGTAGAGATCATGTTGATTGTATTCTTAAATATTTTAATTTTTTTTTCGAAGTATTTATACACTTTCACAATGGTTAGTCCTTTTGTGACGGGTGGATTTAACTGTGCATGTCATGGTCTTTTATCGAGTTATTTTCAAAATGTTATTAATTTTTATTTATGTCACACCCATTAGTTTAGCATACAATTGTAGCTAATAATCCATATTTTAATAGTATATAAGGTTTAAGTTCTTAATTTTATAAGGTAATATTTTAAAAAATCCGAAATTTTCCCTAGTGTGAGATATATTACATATTTTCAATGGCATCCCCTCTTCTTTATTTTATTCACCACCCCTCTATTAAGTATGAAATTTAACATAACTGTAAAATTAAGGATCTCTTTAGATTAGTTAAGGTTAGATTAGGTAAAATAAATAATAACATAATAAAAAATGTTTCACGAGGCATGCATACGAGCAACTCAGAGTAGCTTGTGGGTAATGTAATTCGATAGTGTAACATGAGCTCCACGTTCCCTAAGTGATTTACACCTTATAGTGGCATGAATGATAGTAGTTAGTTGTTTAAAGGGCAATCACAGAGCAACAAAACAATAAAATTTAAGTATAAATAGATGTAAACTGTTATGAGTTTAAAGCTACTTAGGATAAACGATGTATTTTCATATTACAATTCGAAGTCATTTGATTTGTTTATTGTTATTTGATAGATCGATGAAAAAACCATTGTATCATCAACTGGTGCTTTGAGTTTAGAAAGAGTTCCAGAGAAAATGATAGTGATTGGAGCTGGTGTAATTGGATTAGAACTGGTAGGTTATTCGCATATTCTATGGTATATGAATTACTGTGCGTAAAAGTAAGATTTCACATTAACTAGATTTTCATAAATACTTTCAACTTGGGTAAAAGTTTCTTTTTTTTTCCGATATAGGTGTATTATGTGCTAAATTTCTTTTACACATGGACTTTTCATAACTTTGATATTAGAGTTGACTGTGAAATGGGCAGCAACTGTCTATTAGAGAAACACTTGCTGAAATATGTGGATACTGTACAAGACCTTCAGCAACTTGCACAAACTGATCCGAAGACGAAAGGCAAAATACTTTTGAAACGTCCTTCTCTACACTTGAACTGCATAAGTAGATTGTATAGTCACCAATATATTTTATACAACTGTGTCTCTAATAGACAGTTGCTGTCCATTTCACACTCTGTCTAAACTATCTATCAAAGAAGTTTGATATTTGTTTGTTTCAATGTTTTACATAGATTAGACAGTCTTGTTTGTATGTGTTAATGAAGGTAGAGGTCACTGTCTTGTTTGTATGTGTTAATGAAGGTAGAGGTTACTGTCTTGTTAGTATATGTTAATGAAGGTAGAGGTCACTGTCTTGTTTGAATGTGTTAATGAAGGTAGAGGTCACAGTCTTGTTTGTATGTGTTAATGAAGGTTGAGGTCACTGTCTTGTTTGTATGTGTTAATGAAGGTAGAGGTCACTGTCTTGTTCGTAATATGTTAATGAAGGTAGAGGTCACTGTCTTGTTTGTATGTGTTAATGAAGGTAGAGGTTACTGTCTTGTTAGTATATGTTAATGAAGGTAGAGGTCACTGTCTTGTTTGTATGTGTTAATGAAGGTAGAGGTCATGGTCCTTTTTGTGTGGTTGTGATTAAAATTAAAACGGTGTCTGAATAAAATGTAATGATATTACTAGTGATTTGCTTTTCGTACCCAAGGGTTCAGTTTGGTCAAGACTTGGATCAGAGGTTACGGCAGTGGAATTTTTAGGCCACATTGGCGGTCTAGGAATAGATATGGAGATTTCCAAGAACTTTCAAAGGATATTGATAAAGCAAGGTTTAAAGATAAAACTGAACACCAAGGTGACTGCAGCAGTTCGAGAGGGCGAGAAAATCAGAGTCAGCCTCGAGGCAGCGAAGGATCCAAACAAAAAAGAAGAGGTGAGTTGGTAGTAATTCGTTCAGACTTTTGGACTTAGACCTGGCTAACTCGCATTTATATTCTTACACAAATATTTAAACATAACTTTATTTTGGAAAAATCTACCCTGTTCTTTCTAGCTTTGCATTATAATTGAATGTGAAGCAAGTGATTGATTAACAGGAAGAAGAAATGAAATATTCTTAGATCTAACAGAAAAAAAAACACTATGGATATATATAAAACATGATCAAATTACTGATTGATCACCAGTAACTTTACAATTAGTTTTTGCATTCTTGTTACTATGACCTAACATTTTCTTGTTGTTGTCCCATCTTATTTGGAGGCAACACATTTGATTCTGCCCACCCCAGGCTTGATTGACCGGTCATTTGACATGAAATATAAGCCATGGTATGGAGTTCAGCTACCAAATGTTTATTTCTTTTTGTAATGTAATGTATTATTTACTTCCTGAACTGTTGGCCTTACCCCAAACATTCAACATTAAAAACTTTGCAACTAGAGATGTAAGGATAAGTAACTGTGATACACCCTTTCAATGTACAGGGACCCTCAGAGGGTGACATAGAGGGATCGGATCCAAATATAGACTCCACTGTGCCACTCTGGGGGGGGGGGGTTCGGCCCCTTTTTATCCCCCCCCCCTATGCAAAAAAAAACTGGGACTTCCCCCTCAAACCCCCCCCCCCCCCCCCAGAGTGGCACAGCGGAGTCTATATTTGGATCCGATCCCTCTATGTCACCCTCTGAGGGTCCCTGTACATTGAAAGGGTGTATCACAGTTACTTATCCTTACATCGCTAGTTGCAAAGTTTTTAATGTTGAATGTTTG